AAATATGAATATATCTACTTATAATAACACTTATAGAAAATTCTAAATGTTTCTCTATATGCACTCATCAAATATTATAAATTATTTTTGACAAATGTAGGATAATATAAAAAATATATATTATTACTTACTATTTATATCTAACATTGTCTACTTTCTAAGTCAGCTAAAATGGCCTTTTACTGAAGATTACTGGTGACGAAGTTGTTTCTACCTGTTGCTGTAACATACATTTATTAAAAAAACGAACTAAAATTTAAGAAACTCGTGGTATAACATGTAGACTTATTAAATGAATTAAAATGTCAAATATGAATGAATGTTTTTCCAGGTGTGTAACAATTATCATTGAATCATCCTTCATCAACTCTATGTATTCTACATTATGTGTCCTTATAGTTATTAAACTGAAGGAGCACCATGAATTCATAGAAGAATTTAAAAGACTAAGTTTAAACACTGCTTCATTGGAGTGTTAGTCAAACAGCAGCTGTTGTGTTCTGACTCTGGTTATTCATCAGCAGACTGTGAAAGATTCTGACACAGACGCAGCTGCTCTGAGGCCTCAACTCCTTCATATTGAGACAAAAAAAAAAAAATTAAAATACAACAAACTTCACAACACATTTGACTTTATCAAACAGATAACAGCTTTAAGTCCCTTTTGGTAAGAATTTGTAGATTTTAAATAATCATTTCCACATACTAAGCTTTTTATCCAATTCCTCTGAAACAAAACCCAACAAATCGGCCAATCAGACTCTGCCACATGGCAGCAGATACCTATCAGTAACACATATCTACTGTATTGACCCTCATTTCACCAAAGGACCTCAATCTTTTTGGAAACAGTGAGGTCTCCCATCCCAACCGCAGTATGTGGCTCACACTGTTGGCCCTTCTGACTCTGTGTGCCACGGGGAGAAGCACTGAAAATCTTTCAGAAAGCAGCGCTGAGAAGGAAAAGCTTGTTATAGCCAGAGGAAAACTTGTGGTGAGTGCTCAATAATACATGTTTGAACGCTTGATATATGCAAGGGTTTAGCTCTAAAAATCACTTTCATTGTCCAATGATGTGAGACAGACTGCATCAAACTATATTAGCACAGAAGCTAATAAAATTAATGCATTTCATGTCAATTATAATGATGTATTAAGCAATACAAATACATACACTACCATTCAAAAGTTTGGGGTTGGTAAAAACCCCAAACTTTTTTTTTTTTTAAGAAGTCTCTCTTATGCTCACCACGGTTGCATTTGGTTACACTTTATTTTAAGGTGTCCTTGTTACAGTGTGAGTATACATTTAAGTACTGAGTAATATTACTTAACTACATGTATTTACTATATGGTTAGGATTAGGATTTGTTTTGTGGTTACTTACATGTAATTATGAATAATTAATTGTTATTATGATAGTAAGTACACGTAACATGTGTAACAAGGACACCTTAAAAATAAAGTGTTACTTTGCATTTATTTGATAAAAAAAGGAAAAACTGAAATATTGTGAAATATTATTCTGATTTAAAAAAAACTGTTTTCTATTGTAATACATTTAAAAAGTAATTTATTCCTGTGATTACTTTATCGTTACTCCAGTCTTCAGTGTCACATGATCCTTCAGAAACCATTCTAATATGCTGGTTTGATAAAGAACAGTTTCTTATTATCAATACTGAAAACAGTTGTGCCGCTTAATATTTTTGTGGAAACCACGGTACTGTTTTTTTTTTTGTTGTTGTTGTTTTTTTTCAGGATTCTTTGATAAATAGAAAGTTCAAAAGAACAGCATTTATTTGAAATACAATATTTATAATGTTTTATATAATAAATGTCTTTACAGTAACTTTTGATACATTTAAAATGAAAGGCCGTTTCCACCACAGATTTAAAAAAAGCTTCCATAATTTAATGCATCCTTGCGGAATTAAATTCTTACTGACCCCAAACTTTTGAACAGTACTAAATACTCTATTCAAAATACTGTATATGATACAATGTCAAGACCTCAAAGAACATTTGATGACAACGAGTGTTACTTGAGTTAAAACACTTGTTTTCAATGTTTTGCCTATTGTTAATCTCTCTTCAATCCCTTCCCAGGCTCCCAGTGTAGTGGGATGATCCATAAAGAAGATGCCAGAGCTCTACAATTTCCTCATGGAGCGATGGGCATTGTAGTATCCTGACATTGCCATCGAAAATCACTCTCATTTTCTTGTAATTCCAGTGTTTTCAGTTTAGTGCTATTAGTCTTTTTAAAGAATGTTGAAAAGTATCTTCCATATTTCTTGGAAGATCGTGGCTCTGCTAAGACAGCGTTTGACAGGGACGTAAATGTTAATGAAATCTTTACAGGCTGCCATATGTTTAAACACTTAGAGGCCGGAGTCATGCGCTTCATGGCCTCAGAGGTCATTTGCCTGCTGCTGTTAACCTTAACCTGCTGTTTAAAGTCACAACCTGGAGTACGATTCAGCAGAGGATAAAACCCCCCGCCTGATCTTCTACAACGAGAAGGACGAGGAAGTGAAGGTAAAGGCAATGTGATTTTTATGTGCATTTGCATTATATATTTGAAAAAAAATTTTTCACTCAACACTGGATATTTTAAATGTTTACTGTATTTGTTACTTGCTGAAAAACCTGCACGTCTCTATACTTTTTAAAATATTATTTAAATATAAATATTATCATGCATATGCAAACAAGTGTCACAATCCATCACAAAACCAATGACATGATGTTTCTTTCTTTCTTTTTTTTTATTCACTATTGGCTTTTGTTGAGTGTTGTAAGGGAAAAAGCAGCATGAATATTCTCATCATCTTCTCCTTTTGAGAAGATGAAAAAAAAATCAACAAACCCGACAAGGGGTGTTTTAAAAAAATGAATAAATGCTATGTGATTATTTTCAAATGATTCAAAAAGAAGGTAAAAATGTCATTGAGAAAAAAATAGTATAGTATTTATTTATAGCAAAACACCTAAAGACCATTAGGAAAATACACACGAGAAAACTCGTTTTTTTTTTTTTTTTAAGTAAAAAGAGAACGGATATAAATAACTATAAAAATGCAGGAAAAATTTTAAATGCAAAAACAGCAGGAAAAATATTAAATGCAAAAACAATAAAGATGTAAAACCTTAAATGTAAAAACTAAACATGAGAACATATTTTTAAAGTAAAAACAGAATAAATATAACTAAACACAAAAATAAAATTTAAAAAAAAAACCTACTAAAATTAACAAAATAATAAAAGTGTAAAAAAATGTATTTATTTGTATTTTTTATCTGAAAATGAATGTAAGAATATAAATGTAAAAACATAACAAATATAACTAACTACAAATGTGGAAAGTAAAAAGATAAAATGCAAAAACTATAAAAATGCCAAAAGTGTTAAAAACAAAACTTAACAATGTAAAATGTTTTTAAAAATATGTAAGAAAATTAAAGAACTTTTAAAGAAAAAATAGAACTAATTTAACTAAATATAAAAATGTCAAACAAATTAAATTTTCTAATAAAATGTAATAATAAAATTACAAACTATAAAGAAGTCAAGTTAAAATGTAATAACATAAAATGCAAAAAACTACAACTATAACTAAATATAATTAAATAATATGGCAATTTAAAAAAAAAAAGACAATTATGAGATTTCCAAGTCTGTTTAGTATCTTTCACTCTCTGACCTCAGGTTGTTCCTGTGAAGAAGATGAAGACAGATGATATCAGCAGCTTGCTGGATTCTCTGGGTTTCTATAAAAGGTCACAGAAAGGCGAGGAGGTCCCTGAGGAGTTCAAACATTTCCCTTTAAACGCGCCTCGGGACGAACTGTGACCCCCGCTGGTCAGCGCCGGAACTGCAGCCCGCCGCCAATGACGCGCAGAGTCTCAACGCTCAGAAACACGGCCGGACTCTGCACCGAAACACAGATGGCTGGAGGCAGTCCTAAGCACACACACATTTACAATAAACTTCTTACATCTTTGGCTTGTGTGGCGTTGTTTCGTTGCGTTTCATTAAAATGTATGAGCTTACTTGGTTTTCACAAAGGAACGCAATTACACAATAAACCCACGGAAAGATGGCCATTAAAGAAAATAGGTGGCAAGTCGCTGAAGCTGTCAGAATAAATGAGAAGCCTAATTGTTGAATTTTGCATTTCTAAACAAAATTGTTCCTCAAAATTAGCTGTCAAGAATAAACTAATTAATTAGAATTGCATTATATTCAAATTGTGGGCCATACAAAACAGCTCTCAAACATTCACAATGCTAATCAGAGTTTCTGTCAAAATACCACAATTACAGTTAATTACTCTTAAAAACACAATAAATATGGGGCACCATCTAAAAAATAATTGTATTATATATATATATATATATATATATACACTTTATATTTCAATATTTATTTCTTAAATGCATTTTCTAAATATATTCTGTATTATATATAAATATATATTAAATATATTTCTAAAATATATTTCCTGAAACTGTTAAAAGTTAATTAAGGATGTATGCATATACAAAATTGTATTTCATTTTCTGCTGACAGATGACTGAAACTTAGTTATGTTTTTGTTATTAAACTTAATCCACTTAGTGTATACATAATATATTATATTAGAGATATATTAAATATTGCACTTGCTTTAAGCATAAACCTCACTAAATCAGTTAGATTTATGTTTCAAAACAAGAAATAACAATTTGCTAATGGGATATAAAAATAAACTTAATTCAAAATATATGTTTTTGTTGATCTATATGTGTTTACATATTTTTCCCGAAAAACAAGTGAAACACTGAATATGTTTTTTTTTTTTTTTTGCTGTATAGTAACATGAACTGTAGTTACTTTGGTTTTCATGGTGAGGGCGACATCTTAATCTGCTGTCAGACTCCATCTGTTTCCTCAGATTTAATCTGGTTAGCGCTTGGAAGACTCCAGTTAATCTCAAACCACACAAACAGAAGTGGAGAAGCGTGGATGAGTGTTTGATGTGGTCTCCAGCATGCCTGTGTTCTACACGCCGATCCCTCAGAACCTGAGAGTGGGTCTGGCTAACATCAGCGGCTCAGTGTTTATAAATAACAGAACGCGAGACAGCGGACACTTCAGGGACCCTTATCAGGATCATGAAGGTGAGACGTCTGCCAAACACAATGAAACGTCTCTACAGCCTGCCTTGATTATAGAAGTTACACATCGGTTAGACTGTTGGTCTTTGTCACACTGTACGAGTGGATATCATGTAATATAAAAGAAGAATACACCTTTACTGGCATTTTTATGGGCACTTTCTGAGAACATGACCACAAAACAAAAACAAAAAAAAATCTGAAATTATTAAAAGTACTGTATATATATATACTTTACATATACATACATGCATAATATAATATTTAAGGTTAGGATTATGTATAAATTATATATACAATCCCATATATACTTTATATTAAACAAACTGTATACACTTATACATTTTATTTAAAATAATAAAATAAAAATAAATAAATAAATAAAAAATAAAATAAAATAAAATAAAATAATAAAATAAAATATGAAAAACCAAAACTTTGGTTAAAGGGATTTATAACAGTTGCTACATCAATAGAAGTGTTCAACCTATATAAAAAAAAGTTATGCAATTTACCCCAGGTGATGAAGGTAATAATAATGAACAATTTAAAAAGTAATTATATTTGACTAAAGATTATTATTAAACACCGTGTTAAGTGCTCTTTCTTACTATGCTGTGCTGTTATCTAGTGTGTGCTGAGGTCTCGTCTCATCTCCCGCTACAGATGCTGCTCTACTTCAGCATCTTCTTCTTCCCCTTCTGGTGGATCTCTGAGGTGCTGATGCTGCATTTAAAGGTGCATTCAATTACAATCATAAAGATATTGTCAATAAACAAATCCTTACTTGCATCATATTATGGGAAGATCCTTGATCTTTCTAAATAAAACTGCACGATACATTATTAAAACATATTCTTCTGAATGACGGTTATTTTAGTATCATTGATATATTATTGTAATTTTTGTTATAGTTTTATAGTTTCTGTTTTTATTTTAATGAAAAGTCTTAGTAATTGTGTTGTAATTTTTAACAAAAATGTCTATGTAGTTATTATTTTTTTATTTTATCTTTTTAGTTTTAGTTACTTCAAGTTAAACTAAATTACAATTAGAAATGTTACAGTGTCAACAAGCTGTTTTATTTCAGCTAGCATTTATTTCATTTATTATTTTATGGGTTTTAGTTTATTAAAACATAGCTAACACCTAAAAACTTCTGAACCAGAGTTAATTTAACACAATTGATACAGTATTATAGATTTTGTTAATATTTTGAATTAGATGTTAATTATTACATTTTCTTTTTTCATTTTAATTTTAGCTAAAATTTAGCAATTTGTATTTTTTTTTTTTACTATTTTTAAACAAGTCTATATGTTGTTAATAAATTTTAATTTTAAATAAATTTTAAGTTTTTTATTATTATTTTATTTCCGTTAATGTTTATTTCAAGCAATGATTTGTTTATGGTTTTAGTTATAACTAATAACCCTGTTCTGAACTTCTGCAAAATGCAGAACTTATAACTTTATTATAACTTTTAAAATTATAACTTAAGCAGCATTATAAGTGAACCTTAGGGAAATAATAAAATGACAAACCTAACTGTTTAAAGGGGTGGTTCACTATCCATGTTTAATGCTTCTCATCGCTATGTGAAAATACGTTTATAATTGGAACAGTTCATTGTAGGAGCTGAGCTGAATGAGAGAGAGAGAGAGATGCAGAGCGTGTGAAGAGCAGGGGCAACGCGAGGAACGGCAGATATTGTTTATGCTCAAACAGCAACATTACACACTAACTAACGTTAAAAAAGTGAAATCGCAATGAACCACCCCTTTAAAACTTGTTTTGTGTCTATAACATGCAGAAGGCTGAAGAGGTCCAGAGAAATTCTGTGTTAACGACAAATGAGTTTTGAAATAACTGAAAACACTTTCAAACAGTTTTAGGGAGCGTTTTAGTGACTTTGCTGTAAGTGATTATTAAAATGAATGCATGAACATCACATCCGTAATAGCTGCAGCTGGCAGGCCATTAGCAGCAAAGCAAGATAAATGGCTCCTGTATCCATGGTGATGGTCTGCCTTTGTGAACTGCACACTGAAGTTCAAGTGCTACTGTTATATATTGTACCTTTAATAGCTCAGCTAAATCACAGCAATTCACTGAGATACTGCTGTGATTATCATTTCAGATGTCAAGTCATAAAGGATCTTCACTGCACCCCTGCTCACCTTCTTGTAATAATATTTGGATAAGCAGTATTTTTGAGGTCAGACTAGGGTTGTGGATATTTTAAGGGCATATTTCAGCTTACCTCTGTTTCTTTCTCCTTTTCAATAGTTCTGTTATCTGCCAGCATATTACCAGTGTCTGCTGGTGACGGGGATGGTCCTGATGGTGGTGCGGGCAGTTGTGTATAAAGTACCTGAAAGCCATACTCAAGTAAAAGTACAGATTCCAACATAAGAAATCATTTCTGGAATTTGCATCTGAAATGGCATTTAGCCTACAGTTTAATGTATCTCAGAGGGGACATGGATGCATTTAACCTGCAGTTACAGATGCATAAACAGGTCTAATGTTTTGTTTTTAACATAAAATGTTGAATACTGATATCTGAAATAAATTAAAACATGAAAAAATAGTCGAAATGTGAAATTAAAACCGCCAGTATGTGGCAGCATTCGCCTGTGTTAATGAGTGAATCACTGAATCATTTGATCAACCGATTCGTTCAAAAAGCTGATTCATTCAATAAGTAAACACCGTCCATTGCTCAGAGACGCGACACAGTGCTGTGTGATCTTTGTTTGGAACTATTTTCGTTGGCAAAATTGAGCA